GCTGTGTAGACCAGGCTGGTCTTGAACTCACAGAGATCTGCCTGCTTCTGCCTCCTGAGTGCTGGGGATTGAAAGTGTGCGCCACCACACCTGGCTAAGCATGCACTCCTGTCTCTGAGCTTAGTCCCTAATTCTTTTAGTGTTGCTGAAGTCATCTTTGTCTCAGACTGGCCTCAAACCTCCAGCAATTCTCCTGCTCCTGCCCCTTGAGTGCTGAGATTAAGTTGTGCACTAACAAACCCCAGTTTCCTCTTGATCTTAACGCAAGCTGGTACAACGGTACTTGTTTTTCTCCTCTTTTGTTTCTAACTAAAAACAGCACGCTTGGTTCTGCATCTTGCTTTTTATCGATGCAATAATGTGTCTCGGAGCACTTCAACGATAAGATGCCACACGGAGAGCTCTTGCTGGAAGCACTGCACTCTTTGGCTAATCTACTTATTTAGCAAGTCCTCTGACTATTTGAATGGTGGCCAAGCTGACCAAAAACAATGTCGTAGCTCAATGGGAGAGACCTTGTCACACACTCTAGTCTTGAGTTTGCTCCCTACCACGAGCAGCAAATGACTAGATGAGCAAATAGAAGCCCTGAGCAACCTTACAGATGGCATTTCGTTCACACAGACAAGCAACCTGTAGTACACTTTTCCCAAAAAAGGGCAGCTGTTACATCACAGGATGTATCTGTCGCTTTCATAGATTTTGACTAAAGTCTCTCCATAAAATTTAAAATCAAGGGCTGTAGAGAAGGTTCAATGGTTAGGAACACTCTCTGCCCTTCCAAAAGAGCCAGATTTGATTCTCAGCACCCACAGGGAGACTGACAACCATCTGTCACTCCTGTCCCAGGGGATCCAACATTTTGTCTAGCCTCCTGGGGTACTAGGCACGCGCATGATGCACAGACATACATGCAAGCAAAACACCCATTAAAAAAATAATAAATTTTTAGCCGGGCGGTGGTGGCGCACGCCTTTAATCCCAGCACTCGGGAGGCAGAGCCAGGCGGATCTCTGTGAGTTCGAGGCCAGCCTGGACTACCAAGTGGGTTCCAGGAAAGGCGCAAAGCTACACAGAGAAACCCTGTCTCGAAAAACCAAAAAAAACAAAAAACAAACAAACAAAAAATAATAATAATAAATTTTTAAATTTAAAATCAATTTACATTCCCAGGAGCAATGTATGAAATGGTCTGTTTCCCCACAAACCTCACCAATAGTGTTATCAAATGAAAAACAGCATCAGTGAATTCCAACGGGAATTACTTCTTTTTTTTTTTTTTGAGACAGGGTTTCTCTGTGTAGCTTTGCGCCTTTCCTGGAACTCACTCTGTAGACCAGGCTGACCTCAAACTCACAGAGATCCACCTGGCTCTGCCTCCCAAGTGCTGGGATTAAAGGCGTGAGCCACCACCGCCCAGCTTCTTTTGTTTGTTTGTTTGTTTTTGTTTTGTTTTATTTATGCATGAATTTCAGTATCTTTCCAGGTCTGAGAATCATCTGAACATTTATGCAACATATTAAAGAATAATGGTGTTACTCACTGGGCTTGGTGGTCCATGACTACTATCCAAGCACTCAGAGGTGGAGGCAGGAAGATCAATAGTTCAAAGTAGTGCTTGGCTTCCTATCAAGTTTGAGGCCAGCCTGGACTACTGGAGATTTCATTTGAAAAGACAAGGAAAAAAAAAAAAAGACCAACAGTGTCACAAAGAGAAGTTATCTGAAAAGGAGGAAGCTGACGTGAAGGCCATCCTGGAAAGTGGTTCCCCTCTTAATTCACAAATGTGCTAAAAGTACCAGACCACCACAAGGGCCAAACAGCAAAGGGAACTCATCCTGAGAACCTGCACATCACCCACCAAACACCCAATTGGCTGAACTTACCTAATCGGGATCCACCATGACCTGGGGTAAACGGATCGGGGAGGGGGGCATTTTTCTATACATGCCCAGGGCCTTGAAGATACAAGGCAAGTGTTCTACCACGGGCCTCCACCCACTTTCAGAGCGCTCATGGATCTTATATTCCTGATTTGTTAGAAGGCGATGGGAGCTGGGGTGAGCAAAAGACCGAGGCCAACACCTGTGGTTGTCCTCTGACACCTTCAAACAGTTGGACTATAGCTGTGGTTGCCCTTGGAGACCCACCAGCCAGCGATGGCAAGTGAACCACACATGTGAGTGACATGGGTGGGTTAAGACTGCAAGCCCATGGCCTCCAAGACGGTTCAGTGGGTAAAAGCACTTGCTGCCAAGCCTGATGGCTGGAGTTTGATCCCCGGAAACCACACAGCATACGTAGAGAGAATTGGCCACAACAGATTGTCCGATGATCGCCACTTATATGCCACAGAACTCGTGTGTGCACACACATACATGTGCATAGGTAGACTGGTTCTAGGGGTCCAAGAGAGGTAGGACGCAATTTTAAATCTTGAACTAGCCGGGCGGTGGTGGCACACGCCTTTAATCCCAGCACTTGGGAGGCAGAGCCAGGCAACTCTTTGTGAGTTCGAGGCCAGCCTGGTCTACAAAGCGAGATCCAGGAAAGGCGCAAAGCTACACAGAGAAACCCTGTCTCGAAAGATCAAAAAAAAAAAATCTTGAACTACCCTTCCTGGTATTATTAGGACAGGGTTTGCTAAGATGATGTTTGAAGAAAGAGATGAGAAAGTCTATAGATATCTAGATAGCCATCACGGACGTCAAGAGGTGTGCACATGTCTATGCCTGGAAAGAAGGACTATAGAAACTGCTCAGTGGAAGAGTACTTGCCGTGGGGGTCACCAGGTTTGAGCCCCAGCACCAAAAGCAACAGCCTGAAGAGAGCCGGACTAGGAGCAGACCGTTTTCATCCCAGCTCCTTGGCTGGCTGAGTAGGGAGCGGGGAGACTCCAGCATGGGCAACAGGGGGATGCCCAGTCTCAAGAAGGAAAAGAGGAGGAGACGACAAGGTTAGATGTGGTTACTCAGGCCTATAATCCCAGTACTCAGGAAGCTAAGACAGGGGGATTGCCGCAAGTACGAAGCTAGTCTGGGCTGCATGGCAAGACCTGCCTCCCAAAACACCAAAACAAAACAGAAATCAAGACAGATATAGTAAGTAAAGCCAGTGGGACTAGAGGAAGTCCAGAAGTACAGAGAGAGGAGAGGAGTGGAGAAGAGAGAAGGGAAGAGGGGAGGGGAGAGACAAGTTGTAAATTTGGAGGGCTTTTTTTAGACAAGGTCTCTCTTTGTAGCCCTGGCTGTCCTGGAACTCACTATAGGCTGGCCTCAGAGATCTGTCTGCAGAGGGCTTTTTTTTTTAACTATTTCTCTTCATCTTGCAGATCTGCAGTGCTGGGAACTGTGGTCAGGGTTTTGTGCATGCTGGGCCAACAGTCTAAACTCTGATCTATTTCCAGTCCCCACATACTACTCGATGTCTAGCTCTTACCTGCGTCTGGCCCTTATGTCAAGGACTCAGAGACAGTCCAGTGCCCGCGCCGCTATCAAGGTAGAAGACAAACAGTGGCCCAAATCCCCAGGCACACTTGGGCAATCTTATGTTTGATTTGGCCTGTAGTTCCTAGCAATAAGGGGTCCGTCCACCTCGGGACTTTGTGTCCCATAATCCCACACTCCGTAAGACTTTCCTTGTTAGTTTGTAAGCCCCTTCCCTGGAGTGTCTGTGATTTCAGCATCTCGCCTACTTCAGCTGGTTTACCCACTCTAGATTATCTCCCATTTGAGGTTCCCTTTAGGGTAATATCAGTCATAACTACATCAGACACAGAGATTCCAACCTTGCCTCTGACAGCCTGGCCAATCCATATCACATATTAGCCAGGAATGAACTTCAGACCTAGGACAAACATAACTATGGTTTTCTCAGAAGGGATAGCAGCTCAGTTTTATATATGTCAAAGGGGGTATATCTTTCACTCAGAAATGACAGCAGGGAGATGGGTACTGGTACTTAGGATTGACGTGTGCCATGAGCACCCTGCCAAGGTTTTCCCAGGGTCTCAGGACCAGTTACTAAAGTTCCTCCAAGGGCAAAGCTACCAAATACATAGAGCCATTAAAGAGGATCAAGCTATTGCCCCTGCCATGGATAAAGTGACCCTCGAGAAAGATGGAACCTAAACAGGAAACATTAAGCAGTAACACAAGAAATGTCACAGTTTTCCACAGCTTGAGGGCTCTGACTTCGGAGGTACCAGGTCCAAGGGGAGTCTGAGGCAGGTCCACTTGACTCCCAAGGCTCTGGCAGTTGCTTTGTGTTGCTGTTGACACAGGGTGACCAGGACCTGAATTCTGTTTCTGTCCTTGGGGAGCTTTCACACCAGTGTCCTATCCATGTATCTGATGTATCTTCATCCATTTCAACCTCCATTTTCTTTCATGGAAAATGAACTTAGACATTCACCTCAAGCGCTGTTGAGAAGTGAGGGGCTGGGGGTGGGGTTGACCCACACCTCTAATCCCAGCACTAGGGAAGCAGAGGAAGGTGGTTCTTTGTGAGTTCAAAGCCAGCCTAGAGTTCAGCAGGCCGGCCCGGGCTACATAGTGAGATCCAGGCTCAGAGAGAGGAGGAGAGGCGGGGAAGGAGCAGAAGTTTTTGCAAAGTAGAAGAGAAATGGGTGAGCAGCTTGGCACATGCCTGGATCGACTTATAATAAATGGTATCGATTCGGAACTATGCTTGTCTCGATGGCATCAAAGAAGGGTCTTCCCAGGACTTTATCCCATACCCCAGGTACCCTCTGACGGCCCTCCAGATGCTGCTCTGTGCATCTGTTTCTCCAAGGGCAGAACCCAACACGTGCTCCCTGATCCTCTACACAGGCCGGGGGAGGGGGTGTCAGAGATGATCTTTCATAGTCACATCTTGCCCCTACCTCAAGAAGATGCCACTATACCTGGCCTGGACACCTTCCCTCCCTCTCCACAGTCAGTGCTGTGCCATGGACTCGATCTGCTTCCCTGGTCCCTGACGCCCCACTTGCCCCTCACCTGATGTAGGGGAGGAAGGGGTTGACGTGCCCCGAGAGCACGGCGACCACGTAGGAGATGATGAAGGCTGCAGACGACCATGTCACCAAGAGGAAGGGGACGAAGGCCATTCCCCTGAGGAAGCACAGCATCGCGGTGAGAGGGCGCTGCGCTCGTCGTCGTCGGGGCCACGAAGCCGGCTTGCTGCGGGCTGCCTGGAGGCGGTGGCCACGACACAGACAGCTAACGCTGGACGGTGGCGGCGGCGGCGGGACGGAGGAGGAGGCTCGGAGACAGCCAGGACGGGCCCAGCCCCGGAGGGAGGGAAGCGCTCAGAGGTGAGAGGGCGGAGGGTGGACCGGCAGCCGGCTGGGTGGGGCGCGAGCGGTCGGTCCCCGGCTTGTTGCGAAACCGGTGAAGTCACAAAGCGGCAGCCTGGTCCCCCGGAGCCAGAGCGCGCGGCCACCTCCCCGCCCACGCCAGGCCACGCCGGACAGCTCGGCTTCCTTTCGCTTTTGCTTGGGACGGGGTCGGGTGGGTGCAGCGGGAGACGCGGGAATCCGCGGGGACGGCCAGCTCTTGCGCAAGTCCGCGGGGTTGGCGGGATTCCCAGCCCCTCCTTCCCTCGGGGTTTCCCTCCGAGCCTCTCTCCAGCACCCACTGGGGTTCCTTCCAGTGTCTGGCCACCGATGCCCACCCCATCAGGGCTCTCTGTGACTGCAGGGGTTCAGGCGGAGGGGTTCAGTGACGTTTGACAGGTCACTGAGCATGGATGGGACACATGCCTGAGTGGTACCCACCTGGAAACAGAAATCGCATAACAGCCAGGCCTGATAGTACGGGTCTGTCATCCCTGGTGCTTGGCTACTACGGAGGCTGAGGCAGAAGGATCACAAGTTCAAGGCCTGCCTGACTGGGCAGCTTATTGAAACAGCCTCTGAAGGGCTGGGCATGTAGCTTAGTGGCAGAGCATAGGTGAGGCTCTGGGTTTTATCTCTAAGCATCATTCAATCAAGTGACAGAGAGGATTGGATCCAGCCCTGGCCCAGCCTAGGTTGCCCAGGTTGCTACCCACGGTTCTGTTCCCACCAAAACTACTTGGAGTATTTATTTCCCAGCAATAAGAAAAGATGACTCGATCCACTTCAGATCCACCTCAGACTCCACCAAAACCAAACTGACAGGTGCTCCTGAAGCACAGGCCTGTTCTGTGCATCTGAGTTATAGTTTGGGGATTCTGAGCCCCACTTTTGGCCATAGATGACCTAATATGGGTTCATCTCAGCCACATAAAACATGTCTTGAGTATCGCCCTGTGCTAGGGAATAGCCTATGCGGATTACACACCATCAGAACTAGTAGACTGATCTTCTAGGTAGAACACGATTTTAAGAATGAAATAGACGCTGGGCAGTGGTGGCGCACGCCTTTAATCCCAGCACTCGGGAGGCAGAGCCAGGCAGATCTCTGTAAATTCAAGGACTCAGATGAAGGGCTGGAGAGGTCTTGGAGAGGATAACAGAGTTTTCAAGAGGAAATCTGGGGATGAACACATGACTCCTGCTATCACTGTGCCATATCTCCAACTCCAAAAGGAAATAATTAACAAGACATAAGCGAGACTGCCTCTCCAGGGCAAGAAAATAGCAAAGTTACAGGCTGAAAATGCTTGCTTCTTCAAGACTAGGGCATCTAAATCCCTGTGAAAGAAGAAATGACTTGGTTTTAGCCAGATGTGGAGCTCACATCTGTAATCCCAACACTTAGGATAAGACGGGACAGCCAAGAGTTCAAAGCCAGTCTGGGCTACCCAGTGAGTTCTAGGCACATCTAGGCTACAGAGAGCCTGCCCTGAGTAACTACCATTCAATCATGACTGCTGGGAGCCTCTTCGGACCCATTTATTAAGAATCGTCAGCCAGAACTCCCTGTACCTTCTGGAGCAGCCATCCCTCAGTCACTCCAAGCTTATAGAAACCTGGTCCTAAGAGATGGCTCAGTGGGTAAAGGTGCTTGCAGCCAAGCCTGACGACCCGAGTTCAATCCCCTGGACCCACATAACTGAACAAGAGAACCCACTGACTGCCTCCAGCTGTCTTAGAATTACACACACACACACACACACACACACACACACACACACACACACACACGCTGTGCCCCACTCCACCCCCATCAGCTGTCATTCATGGTATTCATTGTATATTTTGCCAGGTTTCCTGTGTTTTAGAAAACAGCTCTCAGTGTTCTTCCCCATCTCCCCCCGCCCCCTCTGCCCCCCCACACACACACACACACACACACACACACACACACACACTTTCCCTTTTTTACTCTTAGTAAGATTTAGGTCAAAATGAAACTCTCCCTTAGGCAGAGCACTAACGACCCCCAAAAGGAATTTCACTTTATCACATCATGTTTTTGTTGATTGCATGATTCCCTACAAAATCCAATTTGATAGTTACTATTTTTGTCCTTTAGGGGCTTTCTCTTATTTTTTGCTTGTTTTTGTTTGTTTTTCGAGACAGGGTTTCTCTGTGTAGTTTTGGCACCTGTCCTGTATCATGCTCCATAGACCAGGCTGGTCTTGAACTCACAGAGATCCGTCTGACTCTGCCTCCCAAGTGCTGGGATTAAAGGTGTGCGCTACTGCCGCCTGGCTATATTTTGCTTGTTTTTGAGTCAGGGTCTCTCTGTGTAACCTAAGCTAGCCTCAAACTGATCTTGAAATCCTCCAGCTTCGGCCTCATGAATGCTGAGATTACAGGTATGTGTCACCACAACTGGCTTGCTGATCGACCAGAGCAGCAACAGTTTGTGTGCTGTTGCTGTTGTTTTAAGGGATTTGGATGAAGTTTATTACAAGGTAAAGGTGTACACTCAGGACAAATGCAGACTAGAGCGTCACCCATTTTGTTAGTTACAATGAATACATCTGTATCTATATTTCTTTTTTTTTTTTTTTTTTTTTTGGTTTTTCGAGACAGGGTTTCTCTGTGTAGCTTTGCGCCTTTCCTGGAACTCACTTGGTAGTCCAGGCTGGCCTCGAACTCACAGAGATCCACCTGGCTCTGCCTCCCAAGGGCTGGGATTAAAGGCATGTGCCACCACCACCCATAATGATTCATTTTTATTGCCAACTTAGTGCTATTTGGAAATACCTAGGGCACTAGTGTAAGACATCATAGATGTATCTATGGAGGTGTTTCCAAATGGCTTAACTGAGAAGGGAAAACTGACCCTAAATATTAAGTGGCACCATCCCATGGGCCCAGAGTAAATAAAAAGGAAAAGAGGAAGAAGCTAGTTGAACACGTTCTCCCTTCCTCCGGGCTACAGATCGAGCGGGTCTGCTGCCATGACTTGCATGACACGGTGGTGGACTGAGTTCCTCTGAATTGTGAGCCAAAATAAACCCTTCCTCTCTAAGTAGCCTTTTCGTAGGTAGTTAGCCACAGTAGTAAGAAAAGCAATGATTATAACTAATGTATGAGAAGTGGCTACCCAGGGCTGATGCTACCAAGAATCAGAAGAAAGGGGCAAGCAAACCCAAGTCCACATCAAATGCAATGTATTAAGACTTGCCAGCAAAAGCATGTCTTAGGACGCGGGAAGAAAGGAGGACCAGCCATGGTGATGTAAGAGGGAAGGGTTGATATGCGGCGTTACACAAAGGCCCACAGCCAGAAGTGAGGTAACAGGGCTTTCTCTTTCTCTCTCCTTCCTCTTTGCATTCACTTATTTATATTGTGTATGTGCGTGTGCATGAGAGCGTATGCTCGTGCCATTGTGTGTGTGCAGAGAACAATTTATAAGAGTCGGGTCTCTCCTCTACCATGTGGGTGTGGGTTCTGGGGAATCATAGTTAGGTCATCAGGGTTGGCAGTAAACTCCTTTAACCACTGAGCTATCTCGCTGGCCCCCAACCTGGGCTTTCTCAAAGTCTATTCCCATGTCAAACATTAGCTAAGAGACACAGGTCTGCCTCAAAAGGCTTCACTGGCCTTTGCAAAGCCTTTATTTGTCTTGTAGCATTTGGAATATACTGGTTAGTCGTCATCTTGACACCAGCTAGGGTCATCTGAGAAGAGCGGACTTCAGTTGAGAAATGCCTCCTTCAGGCTTGTAGGCTAGTCGGTGGGACATTTTCCTGGTGAATGGTTGATCCAGGAGGGCCCAGGCCACACTGGATCATGCCACTCCTGCACAGTGGTTATACAAAAAGAAATCTGAACAGGCCACGGAGAGAGAGCCTGTAAGCAGTGGTCTCTCATGGTCTCTGCTACAGTCTTGCCTTGAGCTCCTGTCATGACTTCCCTCCACGATGAAGCCCTCCCCAAGCTGGCTTTGGTCAGTATTTTATCACAGCAAGAGAAACCAAACTAAATAGAGCGCACGCCAGGGCCACCTGGCTGACAAATTGGCACTTACCACCTACATTGCATTAGTCATGACCAGCGGGATCCCAACATAGGTGTATAACCATAACTAACCGTGTGTGTGTGTGTGTGTGTGTGTGTGTGTGTGTGTGTGTGTGTGTGTATGTGTGTGAGAGTGTGTGTGTGCGTGTGTGTGTGTGTGTGTGTGTGTGTGTGTTGTGTGAGAGTGTGTGTATGTGAGAGAGTGTGTGCACGTGCACACGTGTGTGTGCGCATGTGTATGTGTGTGAGACAGTGTGTGTGTGCGTGTGTATGTGTGTGTGAGAGAATGTGTGTATGTGTGTGTGAGTGTGTGTGCGTGCGTGTGTTTATGTGTGTGCATGGGTATGTGTGTGTGTGTGTGTGTGAGTGGGTGTGTATACACAACATCTGGTGTCGGACAGTCCTGAGAACACAGCCCTTGCTCTCCCTTCCTGAAGTCTGCCATACCACAGACGTGTGACACCACACCCAACTCCTACTTCTGTATTTAGAATAACACAAAACATTTGACTTTGTATATTTCAATTATTTCCCCACAAGAGATACTGCCCTGCCAAAAGGGCAAATAAGTATCTCAAACTCTCTGGGAACTCCTGACTCACTTCAGAGTATGGCAGTGTTTTCTTTGCCTCTGTTAACATGGAGTATTTCACGATATCTATAAAAATGCTATTTCGGGAAAGCTGTGTTATAATTTGATGAGACGGCTGAACTCCAGCAGCTATCTTGGAATATAAAGTCACTGATTTTAGGAGAAAAAAATTTTCACTGGTGGTTGGGGTTTGGCACAGGTGTGTCCAGGTTCTTGGTTTCATAGAAAAAATAAATAAATAAAGGCTCACACAGATTTGCAAAAGAAACAAGATAAGAG